GGGGAGGGAGAGAGGGAGGGAGGGAGGGAGAGATTGAGGTATGACATGGGGTCTTTTGGGAGAGAAGTGGAAAGTTTCAGGGGAGAAGATCCAGTTGAAAAGAGGAAGGGGGCTTGGCATGATTAATTTTGGCATGGGATGATTCTTTATATTCTCTCATATTAATAGAATAATACTTGAAAACATTTTAAAAGAATGGGAATAACAGCCATTATCTTCAAAATAGCAGAAATAACAGCTGTTATTAAGTCACCTTTTTCCAGAAAAAAAATGAAACATCTGTTATCAAACATTTCCTAATGATTTTGTCCACATTTTCCATTTATTTCCAATCTTCTATTATTTTCCCTTTTTAAAGGAAGCAAATAAGCCTTGTTCCATTTCATCATGCCCATTTTTCAACCTTGTTTATAATTTTCTTTCTGTAATAACGTCTTCCTCTTTTTTAAATGATGACCACTAATTCCTTCATTTTTGAAATATGAGCTGTTATTTCTGAAATAAGCCTTGTTTCATTTCAAGATGCCCATTTTTTCAACCTTGTTTATAATTTTCTTTATGTAATAACGTCTTCCTTTTTAAAAATGATGACCACTAATTCCTTCATTTTTTAAATAAGCTCTGTTATTTCTGTCTTTGTGACAATTTTTAATTATTACAATTGGAAACCCGATATCATGGGTGTTAATTGTCAACCCGTTACGTGACGGTCATTTTATTTAATAAAACTGTCATTTATTTTATGGACAACTTTTCTACCCTATCAACTTACACATTTACATATGTCATGCATTGCCCATTAGTTTTATAACTACCATTATGTCCACTATAGACTCATTTTTTAACCACATGTCAATGTATACTTTTTGGAAAGTATAAAAAACTATTCGTTTATGAGCACATATAAAAACAAGGAGGGGTCTGGTTCCTTTCCAAATCAAATCTGAAAATGGGCAAATGAGCAGTAGAAGGTGATGGAAAACCGTACTTCGTCTAGTGGTATGGCATCTTTAGTAATATTTCATTACAATGTATTAATTTTCCTCATCAAATCAAATGAAGGCCAAATTATCGGATTTACAATTAGAAGTATCTATCGTACCGTAAACATTTTCGCTTAAATTTGCTAGCATGCAATCATGTTTTAGTCTTAGAAGAAATTGTATACCGTTAGTTGTATATCTTGGGATACATGATGGTCGTCATTGGTCGGGCCTGATTTTTCTTCGCGCATACGGTGGAAAAAATTCTCTCTCAAACAACCGCAGAGGGTCCGTGCATGCTGCACATTTGTGAGTGTGCACACGCGTGATCTCCTATGTGCGGATAGGAACCAACAAAGAGAAAGATTTTACGATGGGGTGCATTCAGGCGCTTACCTCGTCGTTTTTGGGGTTTAGGACACACCCGGGTAGTTTGCCCTCTTAGAACAATTACGAAGCCCTCCGGTTGTCTGCCAGTGCTGTTTGGACACGGACTCTCCTCAGGCTTTTTTAACATGTCGCTTCGTTCTCTCGCGTTGGAAATTGCAATGTGGATTTGATTGTACTTCTCTATTGTGACGCCCTTGAACGAGGGCTGGCTGACAAATAGAAGGGATAAGAGAGAAAGGTGACGAGGATCCCCCCTATTCGCGCAAACACTATGCGCTCGGGCGATCTGGGCAACCGAAGGATTAGAACTCTCTCGACTATCGTCTCAGAAAGACTCCTCCCGAGTGACTGAGGGAGAGAGTGTATGCGTTTCTCACGACTCAACTCGACTGTACGGAGAGGAAGTTAGAGCAATGGTCCGAGGGTTGGAATCCTTAGGCTGACTTCGAAAGGTTTTTAATCGAGCATATGTCGATTAGTGGGACGCTATGTGATGCCGCAGGTTTGCTGCGTTTATGCTAGAGATGGAAGGGGGGGAAAGAGATGGGACTGCGCTTTTTTCCACGGGCACAGGTTACTGCGAGGGGCAAGTAACAAGTGAAGAGAGAGAAGAAACAAAGAAGAGGGAGATAGAGAACGAAGCCGTGCGACTAGGGTGGGCTAGGGGTAGTTTCTCTCTGTGGAAAGTTTTCTCTCTCTTTGGCGTTGGATCCAAGGGTGGTTAGGAACAGAAGACAAGTAGAAACGAGCTTAATGCCTCTATTTCATTAATGAATGATCTGGCCTTTTTACAATTGACATAAGCTTGTTTATATAGAGGACCCACCGAACAGGGGTGGATGCTCAAAACTAAGTTGAAAAACAATTAAAAGAAATTACAATAAAATCCTGAATTTAGGAATAATGACCAAAATGCGCACGAAACCATCCATCTCTGAGGGGCCTTTTGTCATTGCCAGATCTTGGAAGTTTTTTTCGGATGTTGTGACAGTGATTGAGACGATCGATCATCGTAGTCTTGATGCTTATTTAGTTCTAAAGAGTTTGATGTCGTTTAATAGTCTTGAGGCGGATTTTTTCCTGAGAGGTAGAAATCCAGCGATATCGTGAACTTTTGGCCGTCAATGCAATGCAATCCATGACGTTTCGAGCCTTTATTTTGATTGCAAATTAAAGAGGAGACTTCCACAGACGTTTTGCACCAATTTCTATCCGTTTTGGTTCTTGCTTGCAGTACTTTTTGATTTCTAGAGATCGTCAAAAAAAGGGATTCTGGCGACCGGGTGATGTTGCATTCTTCATTCTTGAAATTTGCAATTTATCTGACCTTAGATTAGGTGTAATAGTTATACCAGTTTGTAGCCCTTCGTGATACGGTCCCATCGGACCTGTCTTTACAATGATCTGATGTACAGATCTCGATTTTATTGCTTCACGAAGTTCGAGATGTCTTTTCTTCAAAAGCTCTGATTTCCATGGTTTCGGGCTCATTTTCTCTCTAAAAAAGGTTTGATTCTGGGTCATGTCACGACGCGTGCCATAAGTCAAAATGACAGGGTCGTCGAGACCTATCTTGTGTCCGATTTTGAGCTTGCTCTGACTGCAAAAGAGTGACATGTGGGTGTTTACAGGTCATCCTGAGATGTGAAGATCACGACCTCCATGATTGGGGACTGATTCGGTGAGGCCACACTGCGATAATATATGACCTACCCGTTCGAGGTATTTTGGGCCCAGAATGTTCCTGGGAGGTCTGATTGAACCCAAATTTGGTCCCTAGGGTTTTTTCGACGTTCTGGATGCAACGACGGTGGTGTGCTATTGTTTTGAAGCCCCTAGCTCAAGGCTGTAGCTGTAAGGTCTCTTTGTGGCATGATGGTACTTTTTCCAAGGTTGCCTAGTGTTAAGCTTATTTTGCAGTGTTCCCTTGGTCTGGCGGTGTCTTGGGTACCAGTAGGACCAGGTTGTCATTGGCTCTCTCTTTATTTGCACAAGGGATGTAAGTACGTCAAAAATGACGTACAAAAGTCATGTGAGCAATTTAAACGAATATCACTCTAGCATAAACGGCAGAAATGCGGGTGAAAACTATTTCCTGACAGTTAATCTGTTTGCATTTTACTACATTGAATCTCATGACAAATTGCGAATAGCCATTAGTTGGAATAGGTAAGGATTATTCATTGCCAGCAGGAAAAAGGAGTTACTATCATAATATCATTCATTCAATAGTTTCTAATATTTACATGAACATGTTTGTGAGTAAAGTGTGTGTATGTAGTATTTTCAGGTAGTCATAATAAGTCTTTTAACAACTAATTGTCATATTGTATAACATAAATTGTTAATCTTTTTGGTCCTGCAATTACACATTTATCCTGCGTTCTAATTGATGCCGTAGTGGTGATCTGAGCTGCTATTTTTCAGCTTAAAACAATGGCTCTATTTTCATATTGACCTTGAAGTTGCTGGGTTTTTGCTTGAATTTCTGTAGCGGGTATGCCAGACTTTCAAAGCAAACATTCAAGTAGTAGTAATACTGGTCAATTTTGCAATCCTGCTTTTGTTCATGCAATAGCAGTTCCTGAGGAAACCACATCTGAGAAATTAGGCAAGGTTTGTGCAGTAGCAAGAGGTGATGGTGTGATTGATGTAATTGACATTGAATCTGAGCTTTCTGGTTCAAAGGAAAAAACCCATAAGTCCAGATCAAAAAGCAACTTGATACCAAGACAAACTACTGAAACATCAAATAAGAGCCAAGGAAAAGGATTGCAACTGGATTATGCTTCTGGAGGTCATACAGCTGGAGTATCATGTGTGTAAGTCTCTGAGTTCTCTAATTTTTTGACATGTGATTTTTTATTTGTCTTCCTTAACTCATTATTATTTATCCAGGGCATTCTCAAGGTTTGGGGAGATAGGAAAGTTCATTGTTTCAGGTGGCAATGATGCATCAGTCAAGATTTGGGATTGGTATAAGTCTCATAACAATTTAGAAAGTAGCTGCAGCGTTGATCCTTTGCAACTAACCATTAATTCTGGAAAAAAAGTGAGTTGAATTTGCTCAGTTCACACTTGCAATAGTTTTCTGTTGTCCTTGTGTAAATTTTGTTTGTATCCGTCAGCCTTCATCAGTGTTCTGAATTTTTTTTGAAATTGTTAACCATTCTGAATTATCCATCAGCCTTCATTCAGTGTTCACATTTGCAGTAGTGTTCTGAATTTTTTAGAGGGAAATTTATCAAAATATCTGTACGAGATGGACTATTTAACATTTCACCCATTTGCAACCATTCCAAATCAAGACGTTGTTATTTTTTGTGGAATTTTGAAATTAAATCAAAAGATATGGGACGGCTGTAAGACGAGTTCTGCTGTATGGTACGAAATGTTGGTGGTCAATAAACAACATCCATAGAATGAATATAGCTGAGATGAGGATGTAGAGATAGATGAGTGGCAAGACAAGGTAGGATAAAATTCAGAATGAATACATTCTAGGGAACTTAGGGGTAGATCCATTAGGCGATAAAATGAGGGAAAGTAGACTTAGGTGGCCTCATCGTGTGCCGCATGAATATTATTCTAGAACAACATCGGTTTGGAGGGGTGATGTGGTTCAACTTGGAAGGCTCTAAAAGGGCAAAAGGAAGGCCCCAAAGGACATGGGTGGAAGTAGTGAGCAAAGATATGGTGATATATAGTATAACTGAGGATATGTCACTTGATAGAGTGGAATGGTGGAACAAGATTCATGTAGCTGACCCCAAAGAGTTGAGATAAGACTCAGATGATGATGATGAAATCAAAAGATATGGGCAAAGTGTTAAACCGTTTCTCTCTTATGGGTAATTTGATAAATTTTTCTTTTTTATATTGCTACCTTTACATCAAAATAATGAGATTCCAAGGAATATAGAGATGTATGCGGAAGGATTTTGATTCCTGTTGGACACAATAAATGGTAGAAGTACTATATTCCTCATGTGATTATGCATACATAGTTTGAGAAAGAGAGATTATCAAACATAGCCACAAGACTATTGCTAGTCATAAAATTGATGGAAATACAGAAACTTCGAGTTGTGAAACAGAGTAAATCAGTAAAGAATTTATATTAGATATGTTATATTTTTTTTCTCGACTGTGAGTTTTAGATCTGAATCTTGCAAGTTACAGAACCGTTATGTTTTTATTCAAGAAATGTATGTTTTAAATAATGTCTCAAACTCTTTTTATTCTATTTTGTGGGGTTTATGCACAAATTTCCAACAATGTGCAATGGTATGAGAAATAGACAGCAACTCCAGATGTGAATGTCACAGTACTCTTGTTACCCTTGTTCTAAGTCTATCAGCACACACATATACCCCAGAGCTTATGTCGTAAAATCTTGGATATAACTTGACATGTTTGCTGAGTTAATACAAGCATCTCATGGTCATTTGACTCTGAGTTAGATATCATGTGCTGGCTTCCTATTTATTTTTTATATGAGTATGGCTTGATGAATAGCATGCTACATGAGCAAATTATTGTCATTTGTATTTGTCAAAACTTACCTCTTTCAATACTCTTATGTATTAAGAAAATGAATATGCTTTCAGAATTTGTTAAGAGAACTCTGCCCACCATGGTATGGTCCTTTTTCCGCCTATTGTTAAATAGTTTGCCTTTTACAGGTTAATTGGTTATGTACCACTCCAAATGATTCAGAAAATGTGGTGGTGTGTGACACATCCAAAATTGTAAAGGTTTATACAGTGTCATAGGCAAGTGAGGGTCCACTGTGGCAAATTCACAGAATGAAAGTTAATTATCATTCATGCCTCAGGAAGTGGATGAAGAAAAACACGATCCTCAATTTCACCACCCTTTATGTTCATGGGTAATTCACTGCTGTTTATTCCAAAGGTCAAGATGATCAGACCTACGCTTGACATGATCTCTGCTTGGTGTAAAGTTGCTTCAATACTCGAGAATTTCACTTATACATTAATTACTTGCTCGTACAGTCAAGAAGGACACAAAATACGTGTTTTTTTTCTTTCTTTTCATATCTTTTTTGTTGGGGGTTGGGGGGGGGAGAGAGAGAGGGAGAGCTAATTTTGTATTTTGTGCTAAATGCCTGATTTAGTGTTTGTTGCACGGGATACTTCAAAAATGGGTGCTTTATGCGTGTTTGATGCTTCCATATCACATGTAAAATAACAAACAGATGTCGCTGTGTCCTACTGAATTCTTGCGTCATATGTTTTATACTAATTGAAGTGCCTTCTTATTTCTTTGATACTTTATGGCGTATTTAAATGGCCAATCATGAGTCCAGACGTTTCTTCTTTCTGTTACTATTCAGACAATTTGGAGAAAGAATGTGGAGAGGGAATTTTATGGAATCTATTACTGAAGTGATCATACTAAATTGTTTTTGTGAAGAACAGAGAAATACAGTTTTGTTTCATTTAAAATGGCAATGCCTAAATAAAGAAATTCACATGTTGCATTTTGGTGGATATTGTTAAATAACTTGTTTTTAACATATTATCTAAGACAAGTCACTGAGCGAGTTCATACATGCCACGCATGTAAAAGAAGTACGTGTTCTTATTCTTTCTTGTGACTAAAATGATTATGTTATTTCTAATGGTTTCCTTTGCATGACAATTGTAGGGACTACATGTTCGTATTCTCAAGAATATCCAACAAACGGCAGTTACAGAAAAGAATATTGGTTTTTTATTTGGTGAATTTTAACAAAATTTCATTAAGAAAATGAAAAACTACCTAGTTAAAAAGAAAAAGACCGCAAAGAATTGCCACCAAAAAGTAGGAAAGAAGCTGCGATTATAGCAAATAGCAAGGAAGAGATTTTCTCTAGGTCGTAAGCCGCAGAATTTTGTTCGCCATTGACGTGCAAAATTTTTTTTATCCCTCAACATAAATTGGATCTCGTCCATGACTACACTCTACGCGTGACAGGCAGTAGTTGGATATTTTCAGCATTTGATAACATTAGCAGAATCAACATTCTTTAAAATTGGTGATCTAATCTCAAACTAAAAAATTTAATGCAATGGGTGTGGCGTCTGACAAGCATCCAAGGCCCTGGTAAGTCCAAATAGTTTCTCCCCTCATTCCTCGACATACCCCTATACCCTGCAATTGCCTTATTACATTTTACACTACCATTGAAATTTGGTTTCAACCAGTGCATTAGGAGGGGATGCCAAGGACCTGATTTCCTCACCTTGTGCTTTCTAAGATAAAGCAGTTCTCGAAGATTGGTGTCAAAATTTTCTCTGGGAACATCCTTGAACTCTATAGTGGACTACGCCGAGAAGATGATATGTTTGTGAATAGCTTGCTTGATCTGCGGTATGTCTCGAGCTCTATTTTTAAAGGTTCTTCTATTCCTCTCCTTCTAAAGCTGACAGATCAAAAAAACCTATCAAAAAGGCATAGAGCATGGTTATGTCAGCAGTTGCTGCACATATCTTGGCATAACCTAGTTACACTGTACTTTGTTCAAGAGCCCCTTTGTTGAAGAGCCGCCCACAAAAATTGTGTGGAAATGAACAATGGAGGAAAAGGATGTTCATTAGTTTTAATGTCCTGTCTACGCGAAGGGGCATCTATTTGTAATAATCATTCATCTCTTTCTCAATTATTCGATTGACAAGGCGTTGTCCCTACCCACTAAGAAAGCCCAACTCTGGACCCGAATCGGGACCCATCAGGTATATCAGATACGGATCGGGTATAGGTCTAGTATTTGGACCCGTCAGGTTGGGTCTAGGTCTAAAACTTGCTCCCAAACGCTATATAGATCTGGGTTCAACTGGACCCGACTTGTACCTCTATACTGTTAGAGATAAAATATTTTACTTTAAGCCGTATACATTTGGCTGTATCAAGGATCGTATATAATTAGGACCAGTAGTCATCTTTGGCTATTAAACGATAAATCACACGGCATGAATCTAATAGCAAGTGATTGTGATCTTATTGCCAATAATACGGATATATGATGGTAAATAAAAGGGCAAAAAAAACAAAAAAAGTAAGCTCATAGTGAGGGTGATAATGGACTCGAGACCCATTGGGTAGGCCTGAGACCTGGGTACAAGTATGAGTCTAACTTTTGGACCCGCCGGGTCGGGTCCGGGTCCAAAACCTAAACCCGGATCTACTCGAGTATGGGTCCAGGTTCGGACCCCACCTATACCCGACTCATTGCCACTCCAAGGCATTGTCTATCTTTTGTACATAGAGGTTGTAAGAGTGTTATTGAATAGCCTAATTTTCATACTTATCTGATTCACTCCCAACCATCCAATTTGACATTTAATGGATAGAAATGATTGTGAACTTCGTGTATAAAATATTTACAATCTCTTTGCAAACAACCTCATACATACTTGTGAGTGTATACCTCTACCTACCCCATACATACTTGCGAGTGTATAGCTGTACCTTCCTGAAAGTCTAATCACTTCGCAAAGGGATTTTGCGGAGAAGGACCTGGCTGGGTTTATTTTCCGAATTGCAGTCAGCGCAGAGTTGAGAGAGAGAGATTCAAATTTTCCAGCTCCATCAAATGCCTGACCATCTTAATGTGGTTCAGTCTTTCGATTGAGACTAAACATCAGCGTACTTGAGAGCCCAAGATATGGGAACTCTGCACGTCTCTAGAGCTCATCTCACCTGTCCTTCACCATGTGAGAAACAGCAGGAAAAACCCATTAGAACTGATGCAATTTTCTTCAAACCCACCTTACATTCCCATAACTCCTGTCCCTACTTGAGACCCATCAGGACGCATGCCGTAAAACACCAGGAGTCAAGCTCCAATGCTCAACAATTCTCGGCAAATATAAATAAAGAAGTTTTGATTTTATGTAGAGATCGGAAATTAAGGGAGGCCATGGATTTTGTCGATGCTCCTGGGCTAGATTTGGATACTTATTCTTGCCTTCTGCAACTCTGTGCCGACTGCAAATCGCTCTCAGACGGCAAACGAATCCATTTGAAAATAGCTTCTTCTGGGATCAAATTAGACAGCACTTTGGGTGCCAAGCTGGTGTTCATGTATCTAAAATGTGGGGATTTAAATGAGGGACGAAGAGTTTTCGACGGGATCGCAAAGGAGAACACTTTTCTCTGGAATATGATAATGAATAAGTACACAAGGATTGGAAACTACATGGAAAGCTTCTCCATGTTCCAAAAGATGATTGTCTTAGGATTCAAGCCTGATTCTTTTACCTTTACACGTATTTTGAAATGTTGTGCCTCAATGAAAAGTATTAGGCACGGTGAGCAAGTTCATGGTTACATAATCGTGACAGGGTTTGAATCTTTTACAACAGTGGGTAACTCGCTTATATCTTTATACTCGAAATGTGGGCAGACAGGAGCCGCAAGACTAGTGTTTGAAGAGATGTCTCAGAGAGATATTATATCGTGGAATTCAATTATTGGGTGTTATATATCGAATAATATGACTCGAAAAGGAATAGAAGCTTTTCGAGAAATGCAGGATTGTGGATTTCTACCTGATCCAGCTACCTTGGTTACTCTAATTCCAGCTTGTGCAGAGTTGGGTTGTTTAGTTCAGGGGAAACAGCTGCATGCTTATGTTTTTAAAAGTGGTTCGGACCGAGAGATCAATGTCTTGAATTCTTTAATAGACATGTATTCAAAGTGTGATTGTTTTAGTTATTCTATGAAGGTGTTTGATAGAATGCTTCAAAGAACTGCTGTGTCTTGGACTTCTATGATACAAGGCTATGGTGGACAGGCACAGTTTCAAAAGGCGATTGAAATGTTCTCTGAAATGGAAACAGAAGGAGTTAAGCCCGACCTTTTCACCATTACTAGCATCATACATGCGTGTTCACATGGTGGGTCTCTAGATCATGGCAGGGCCATCGATGCTTATGTTAAGAGAAATGCTTTGGATTCAGATCTTTTTGTTGCTAATGCTCTTATTGACATGTATGCAAAGTGCGGCAGCATGGCTGATGCTAGGCGTGTATTCAATGGCATGAATTTCAAAGATATCATCTCATGGAATGCCATGATTGGTGGTTGCACCAAAAACTGCCTCCCTAATGAAGCCCTAGGCCTATTTGCCCAAATGCAACATGAGACGCGGCCTAATTCGATAACCATGGCATGCATTCTCCCTGCTTTAGCAGGCCTATCTGCCTTTGAAAGAGGCCGAGAAGTCCATGCCTATACAATAAGAACCGGTGCTTTCTCAGACAAGTTTGTGGCCAATGCCCTCATGGATATGTATGTGAAATGTGGGATCATGTTATATGCCCGATCCCTATTTGAAAGGATGGTTGAGAGGGATTTGGTGTCATGGACTGTGATGATCGCGGGGTACGGCATGCATGGTCATGGCGAGCATGCCATCATGCTTTTCACTCAAATGCAAGAGGCCGGAATCAAATTGGACTCAGTCGCCTTCACCGCAATCCTCTATGCATGTAGCCATGCGGGTTTGGTCATGGAAGGCTGGAAATTCTTCGGGGCCATGATGCATGACCATGGCATTGTGCCTGAGCCTCAACATTATGCATGCATGGTCGATCTTCTAGGAAGGGCAGGACATTTAGAAGATGCATATAGGTTCATCAAGAACATGCCAATGGAGCCCGATTCCACAATATGGGGTGCATTACTCCATGCATGTAGGGTCCATCGCAATGTGGGGCTCGCTGAGAAAGTTGCAGAGCACGTATTCGAATTAGAACCGGAAAACACAGGGTATTACGTGCTCTTATCAAACATATATTCAGAGGCAGAGAAATGGGAGGGGGTGAAGAAGATTAGGGAAAAGATGAGCAAGCGAGGGCTACGTAAGAATCCGGGCTGTAGTTGGATGGAGATAAAAGGGAGGGTCCACGTCTTTGTTTCGGGAGATAGGTCGCATCGTGAAGATATGGAAATGCGGATGTTAATGGAGTCTCTAAGATTGAAAATGGAGGCGGAAGGTTATGTTGTTAAGAGGAGGTATGCTTTGTTGCTGGGTGAGGATGAGAAGGCTAAGGGAGAGGCCCTTTGTGAGCATAGTGAGAGGTTTGCCATTGCTTTTGGGCTATTGAAACTGCCAAAGGGTGCAACCATTAGAGTGGCTAAAAACCTTAGGGTGTGTGGAGATTGTCACGAAGTTGCAAAGTTTGTTTCTAGAGAGATGGGGAGAGAGATTGTGCTCAGAGATCCTAATCGGTTCCACCATTTCAAGGATGGGAGGTGCTCTTGTAGAGGATATTGGTGATCAAACCTATAGTTTTGACCATTCCATCTTTGGTGAGTTTATGTGGGGATTGAATTTTAAGGGTCTAAACGGGCAAGTGTGGCTCCATTGTTGTCCTTGACCCGACGGGGTCCAGGGTGGACTTGGGTCTCTGCCCACTGGATTGGGTCTAGGTCAAAAAGAAATGGAAAAAGTTTATATAAGGTTGGTACCTTAAATTATAGAATTAAGGTGCACCTTTAAAATCTTTCGAAAAAGGCTTTTTTTATGTTGGAAAAATATCTAATTGATCGTGTCGGCATCAAGATGTATAGATATAAAAAAAAAAAAGAGATTTCAGGTCTTAAAAATACTACATCTTGTAACAACTATTTGGATCATTTATTTCAAGATTTTCATATGTTTATAGGCTTCCTTGATTTGAACTATTTTTGAAGTTTAAGATTTTCTAATTAGAGATAAAATTAGATTCTTATGCCATCCTAAGCATTTTTAGCACCAAAATTGCATCTCATAACAAAGTTTGGAAGTGCACCTTAATTTGATTGTTTAAGGTTGTGACCTTATGCAAACTACACCCAAAGATAAATCAATAGTATTAAAATGAAAGAGTGTATAATGTTATGAACAAAAATAAAGCCATAGTTGAACATAAAAATGAAAAAAATAATGAACATAATACCTTGGTTTGAGAACGAAGACTTTTTTTTTTTTACTTTTTTGGGTAAATCGAGGAACCCTTTTTAATAAATGTTTATTTTAATAATATATGATTTTTAGAAATCTTATTTGAATTTTTTAAAATCTCTGGATATTTTATTTATCAAATTTAGATTTGTAAAAGCAGGGATATTGATTTTACATTGATTTAATTATTCAAATATGATTTTATGAATTTTTTAAAATCATAATATTTATTTTAATAATTTTTATATTGCATGGGAGACCCAAGAATATAAATGGGCCCACCATGACAATTCGGTGGAGCCCATTGTGTGCCACCTAGGGTGGCATGCCCCACCTTGAGGAGTTTCTAATTTGAAGACCTCAAGCTCTTTCCTTGAGGAATAAGTAAGTTATGTTTTGGAAAGCTTAAGCCTTGAGGAAATTTTGAATCAATTTTTGGTATGTGTGAGAAGGCTTGAGCATAAAATAAGAAAGCAAGATATTACTATATATTATTTTTTGGGAAAATTATAAAAACCCCTTCAAAAATTTTATGCACTTTACCCCCACCCAACTTTTCCTAGCAACTTCTTACAAAAAAATCATGTTTTCTAGTAAATACCCCTTATACAAAAAGTTAAATTTTTTCTTGACGAAAATACCCTTCCCTCATGTAACAAATCATTTTCGGATCTCAATAAAAGGAAACGCCGGATCGCACTTGTACAACGTCGAACTGCTCACTTCAAAACATCAGACCGTTACTTCAAAATGTCGGACTGCCCTTCAAAATGCCGGACCGCCATATCAAAAAGTTGGACTACTCTTTCAAAATGGCGGACTACAACTTCAAAACGTCGAACCGTCCATTCCAGCAAAAAATAATCATCGGACTGCCACCATGAAAAGCCGGACCGCCACCATGAAACGCTGGACTGCCTGTTTAAAATGCCGGACTGTCTTCTCCAATGAAAATAATTTGTTATGTGAGGGAAGGGTAATTTTCATTAAAAAAAATGAACTTTTGTAGGGAATATTCGCTAGGAAAAGTTGGGTGGGTATGGGTTTTTTTTTTGCAATTTTCCCTTTTTTTATTTGAATTAATTGATGGAAAAATAATTTATGAAGTGGTGGATAGTGGTTCTAGCACCTTTCATATGATTTTGATGGCCTATCTATGAAATGGACGGCTCATATCTCTCACCCCACAAGTCATCAAAGATCAATGGTGCATATTCAATATCACATGAAGAAGCAAGCTATGGAAAACACTAAGAAATCCTACAACCCTTGATGCACTATAAAAGGGGAGCACCCTACCTAATATGCTCTACTTCTAAAGTTTCTATCTCTCTCATATTTCTCGTAAGGGTATGCCCCACTCTTAGAAACCTCTCTCTGATTCTCTTGGAAAGTTTCTCTCTCTTTCTCCCCCTTATGAAAATCAAGGGGCACGCGCCACTCTCTTGCTCTCATAGAGTTCTCGCATCTCTCCCATCTTTTATCAAAAGGGGATCACCTATGTTTGAGTTTTGTGATTGAAAGGGGTTTATGTTTTATTTGGTTTGGCTTGACCTAAACTTGCTTTCCTGATAGAGATTGAAGGTTGATCATTGCTCATGTTCTATTGGTTTGGCTTGACTTAAATTGCTTCCTGATAGAGATTGAAGGTTGATCATTGCTTCTATGCCATTGGAAGGTGGTGACTTAGTGTGGGTTTAATAAGCCCGGTTGAGATAATCTCCGATACTCTTTTTTGTTTTTTGCTTCTTGTGTTTTTTATTCCCAAGCATAGGTTGTGTCTTTTCTTTGTTATTGAAAGAACGGTTTTGAATGACTTCAAGTTTTTGAGATCCTAATTGTATTCTTTTTTTTATTTTATCTGAAGTTGATTTATTGTAAAAAAGACTACTTATAAGTGATCTAAGCCATGAAAAAAAAGAAAAGAATTGAAAAAAAAAAGAAACGAATATATACTCTGGTTAGATCACACGAGTCCTTATTCCATTTTCTTAGCACTCTTTGGTTATTGAAAATCATGAGAAAACGTGAACTATTTGTGGAGAAAAGATAAAAGCTACTCCCATGGTCTACTAAGGAAAATTTTCAAAATTTGAACCCTTGCCTTCAATATTTGAACCCTGGCCTTCATTCCCTTATGCAAACTTTGATCTCCAACCAGTTACCACAAGACCAAAGTCGAAATATATTATTTGTACAAGTAAAATGTCATCTCTTCACTTTCGTACTTGTTGCTTCATTTAGCTTTTAATAGAGAATAATGAGTGAGTCCACATTCTATACTCCATGTGTTTGGTTCAAATATCATACGAACAACTGCTCACCCCTTGGAGTTCCTCCCCTCAAAAAGTCCTCTAAATATGCATAGTGATGAAACTAAAAACGGAGAAATAGTTCTTTCCAGATTAAGTATTTTAGGAAAAATTAGGTCCGCACCCAAAAAGAAATAGAAATATATAAAAAGATCCATTTTTTTCACAAAAATTATGTGAAGGGTCGGTCCCCCAGCATTTTAATAATTTTTCAAGCTTGTCTCCCAGTCCTATGTTATCATACATGTTTTATTTTATTTCCTTTTTTAAATTTTCTCAAATGTAGGGTTGTGTCCTATCTTTTAGGGAATTTCATGACCCCTTTGATGGCCTAATTACCTTAAATTTTAGCAATTAAAAGAGGCAGAGCAGTCCTATGTTACCAACGTCAGACTGACTAAACTTTAGGGCATTCCAAAAATTAGGATATTGGATTGGTCCGAAATACCCTAAAACACGTGATACAACCTTACCTTTGAAAAAAAAATTAAAAAAATAAATAAAAAAATAAAATAAAAAAATAAAATAAAAAATAAAACCGGTTCGATGTTAGTAACATATGGCCAAAGGACAAACTTGAAAAAATAAAAAATACGAGGGTACCGACCCTCTATATAATATTAGAGAAAATATGGATCACTCCTTATTTTTCCATTAGTTTTAATGTTCATACGTAATTTTTCCAACATTTTGTGACTTTTTTTATAAAAAAAAAAATATGAAACTCAAGTTTGGTCCTAAGCCCGGGCCAGCGATCTGACTAATTGAAGTAGACAACTCATAACAAATAATAGAGTCCATGAGTCTTGGACGAGTCCTAAGGTATCAAACTGGACTCTGCAGAGCACCCTGTCTAGTCTAAGTGACTCGAGCAACTACTCCCAGGTCATTGTCATTGCATTGTAGTAAAATATCCTTGAAGTGGTGAAAACCAATGAAACATGCATGTGTTTGAGGGTCCAACTATGTGTCGATAGTTCGTAGACATGAACGTGCGAATGAATATGGCACCCCTATGAAGTGTCCAATGGTGTGTCACTTTTTTAAAACAGTTCGGCTTTTTTTTTTTTTTGTATAAAAACGGAATTTTTCTCTCACAATATAATATCTTGAGTTCCATTACTACTATCGATATAAGAAATCCCTTTTCCACATATCTATCATAAAAAAAAAAATTCAATGTTAGGGGAATAATATATTATTTAAAAACAAAATTGTTTTGAAATTAAAAAATTGGTTTGAAATGAAATAAAATAATATCTTTTATTTTCTTACCTAGGCTTATATAAATCACTATTCTTATAAAATAAAAGTATGTTTTTAATTCAAGTACCAATAAACCTTGTGTTTCTCCCTATCCAACTTGCGGTTTCTTATGTGCACTTGTATAATGATTTCACCGAGCCATTAGTGGGTTCGGTGAAATGAGCCTAGTTGATAGTCTTTAAATTTTGTAAGACATTTCTCTACAAAGTGTACTTGTCCTTATCTCAAATTTTTAATATTAAAATTTTTTGTTTGCTATATTGTTGCCCTTGTCTTGATTCACAAAGTAAAATCTTTGGGGCTACTAATTTAATTTCTTTTTTTTGTAGTGCTTTATTATTGTTATGACATATGAATTGTAGTATATGTAAATGTAGATGTGAACTAAATATAAATTTCAACATATGTATATATAGATGTATGCACATATGTAGTAGACATCTACATATTGTATAAATGTGTCATATTTAGATGATATTTTTTTTGGATTTATGTTTTTGACACTCTCATCCATATCAAAAAAAGGCACATGTCCATTTCTATACAGCATAGGTGAAAACCCCTTAAAAATAAGTAGAAATTACATATAGATAATATGAACCCATTAATTTAAATATAACAATGATTATGGGAATGCCCACTAATTTTTCCTTTTCCTCAGATTCATTACTATATTAATGCAGAGCATAAATACCTCATATGTATCTGGCTTAATCACTTTAATGAATAGAAAAAACAATGTCTCCCTAAAATAACACCTCTCACTCTCTTCCTTCTAGAGAGAGAGTAGAGAGAGAATGTGTTTTGCAAATAAGAATTTGCATCCTTATTTTTCCCCTTCTAAAGTTGCATGAGTACAGCCTGTATATCCAAAGTGTAAGGCCATTAGATATCCATCTCTTATAAAAATCATTGCAATGCCGCTTTGTTTATAACAATCAAGATCCATCCTCATTGTGAAGCCTTTTGTTTGCACCAGCCCCAAGCAACCATCCAAGGGGTCATTATTCCCCAACTTTTAGAGCTTTCACATTCCCTATCTTTTGTCCATTTATCTTATTTTATCACTTTTTTTTTTTATCTATTTGTTGGTAGCCCGGATTTCAAAAACAGGATAATGAATCCTTTACCTTTTTTTATAAAGGCGGTCACAATCACTCATAACCATTAAATATCAAATTGGATGACTTGGAGTATGTTATGAAGTTCGAAATTTTTTTTATTTTGAACTTTGAGTCTATTAAATGACACTTATAACCACCTGATTTAAAAGCTGACAGACAAAAATGATTGTAATCTCTATCAGATGTCAAATTGAATGACTTGGGTATGCTACCAAATTTGAGAATATGCAAAGGCAAACTTCGAAGTTCAAACCAGCCTTTACGAAACCGAGAAGCATTCACTATGTACTTGTGCAATATTATACTCCTAATCCAAATAAGGGAGTAGTTTTGTATCCTTATTTTTTTCCCCTTTAAAAGTTACATGAGCATGTGTTGGGAAATTGATTGCAATGACCACTTCTTGAATTTAAATCTATCAATCCATGCCCCTCATTTTTAGTACTTTTTTATTTATTTGTCGTTGCCCAGACTTCAAACCGACCCAGGTCATGCGAAATGGAATATTAACTGCGAACTTGTGAAGCATTATACTACTGTGTTGCACGTGCAATTCGCGATTTGTTAAATGGAAAAAGTCAGATGTAAATCCATTTCATTATGGAAAATTGTTCCATGCGGGCTTGAACACATTTCTACAACATGCGGTTCAAAGGTACAAAGCATTCATCTTTTAAGATGGATGCAAATTGGTGGTCCATCTGAAAACAATCGTCACCAACGGTGCAAATGTTTTTTAATATAATTGTTATTTTTAGTTTTTAATTTTTTTTTTATTCATATGCATGATCTCCATGTTAAATATTATATATTTTTAAAAAATTAGGATCAAATTATATTTAAAAAATATTTATTTCCAAGCCCGTATTTCTACAATATGCGGGCAGGCCACATAGGAACCATGTCCTTTCATTATTACGTATAAATCTAAGGCAAGAAAAAAAATTATGCCCGGGGTGTGGTTTGTATAGAATCGAGGCTCTAAACAATCAAAGTAATGCGCACCTTCAAATAGTATCAAGAAATATGCTTTCGATAAGATAAATCTTTAGAATAACCTTAAAATATATTTTCATCTTTAATTATAAAATTCAAAGCTTCAAAAGTAGAGTAGATTGAGCAGATCTATGAAATCTTGAAAATTGAGGGTCCAAAAATGCGTTACAAGATGCACTATTTTCAAAACTTGAAATCTTTTTTTTTTTATCATGTCCATACATCTTGATGTTGAGATGATCAAGTTGAGGATATTTGGCCATCAAAACAACCTCTTATAGTGAAATTTTTGAGGTGGATTCTAATTTGATTGTTTAGAGCCTCGGCTCTATATAAACTTTTTCCTTGTTCAGGTAAACAAAAGATACAACGATAATTATCGTAAATATACCTATATTTTAGCTTAAGTGGAAAAAAAATCCCAACTTTTAAAAACCTCGTCTACACCTTTTTTTTTTCAATTTCAGGTTTTTTTTGGAAGAAAATGGCTTTCACGGTAGTCGTTTTTACCGTAATTCATATTAAGTTTTACGGTAATTAAAATACCGAACTAACTTGAAATATTACGGTAATTAAAATATCGTAATAACTTGAAGTATTATTACGATAATTAAAATACCATAATAGCTTGACGTAATATTACGGTAGTTTAAATATTATAATAGATAACATTTTTTTTATACCATTCTTTCTACCATAATTAGATAGAAAAACAACTAGAGAGAGAAAT